AATGTAAGTATCAAAACCAGCATGGCCATATCAATACAGTGCTCCACCCAAAGCCATTTACCCTGATGCAATAAGCAGAAAATTAGCCTGGAAGAAGGTTTACTCTAATGCAGCTACATTGCTACTGGTATCTGAGCTAGCTTGCTTAGGAACAGATGGGACTGGATTGTTCTGTGCGGATCCTAAAATGGCACCAGTTGTGTCTGTCATTATTTTTGTCCCCAGATATTTGGGGGATGACAGTCCCAAAACTGGTCCCAAAAACCAAACATTAACTGCCTTTCCGTTTGTAAGCACTGCCAGGTAGTGGCCAATTAAGTCACTTTGAACAGGTCCTTCTCAAAACTAAATTCGGCCAAATATTACATATGCTTCTTTTCTGTTTCGACCTGGTTGCGGCTTTGCACCATGTTTGTGGGATTCTTCACCATTTTCCCTCCGCACTGCACTATGCTTTTTCATTTTCTCCAAGGCCTTTGTGAGGGCAGTAATGAATTCTTGTTAGTGTTTACTAATGTAAATTCATTCTTTGTTATCCCATAGAGAGGAGGATTAGCAAAATGACAGAACTTATTATTTCTGGTACTGCTTTATAATACCTATTTTTATACAGCCCTTAATCTGGTAGTATGCCCCACCAAAAATACATGTCCGTATAAACAAAAACTATGGGGGAATTTTTCAGCACAACACACAGAAATATAGTTGTGACTCCCACTAATATACCTACGCCCTAAATAGTTATATCTTTACATGTTACATGAAGAAAATCCAAATAAATTCATCAATATTTGAAATAGTCCCTAATTTGGGGAAGAAATTATAATTCCAGTTTCATTTTCCTGGAGTGGAATCAGCTCACTTGGACTCAGGATGTGTGTAATTTTGGACTGGCTACACATTAGTATCTTTCCAATTATTTTAAGCTGCCAATTATATTAAGATGCTTCCAGTATCTTCTCTAAAGAAATCTTAATGGTTAAGAAGGATTTTGCAAAATGCACACAAAGCATTCATGGCAAAGCTCTTAAAGGACTTACTTTTGAGGATATAATTCACCCAGGTTCCCAACTCAGCCATAACTGAAATCTAGAGAGGCATGTCTTTACAATAGTTATTCCCTAGTCTATTGGGCTGAGGGGAAAGTGAAAACACAGAATGTACATGGGTTTCTAAAAGTACTGTGAACTGTGAAAAGAGCATAGGTCCTAATCCTGAAAACACTTTGGCATGTAAGTAACATCATATGCATGAACAGACTCATTGACTTCAGTGGGACTACTTGCAGGCATAAAGCTAATCCTATGCATAAATAACTTATCTGTGATTGTTTTCTGACTAAATATAGGTCTCCTACCCTTGAATCGGATGGCCACCTGTGAAAATATCTTTAACATGAAAATGTTGTAGAAGCCTCCCTTAAAAATGGCAGCTAGAAGCTTGAAAGGCACTGGTGATGGAAGAAGCAAGTACATTATTGTAACCCACTCTGCCAGGAGCCCTGCGTGTTCCTCTTTATGCCCACGCTGCTGTCACAATAATGTCACGTGCACTGAACTACACCGAGTGAATGCATCAGGACTAAATACGACCCATTCGCTGGAGATGGAGTTTCAAGTTAAAGCTCTTACCCTGTGGTTTGACAAAGTGACTGATGGAGGGACAGAATACCAAAAGTGCAGCCTGCCAGAGGCCTTTGCAAAATGCTTAGAAAAGTCCCAAATCTCCTGACATGCTATCTGGGGAACATCAGTTAATTTTATAGGCTCATGCTTCAGCTTTGTGTAATTCAGTCTCAGAATTAAGCTACTGTACAAAAGAGGAGACTTCCTGGGTTTTCCACTTCACCAAATGGCTTTCCTTACCGAAAATAAAAGACAATGCAGATTTCTGTGCGCTCAGAGAGGGTTTGCTCAAAACTCCATTAATACGGGAGCTTAACTAAGATTTCTCTATCTTCAGCAAGACTGCCTCCCTATATTTGTTCCTCTGGTTACTACTTGGCATATTGCCAGAAAAAGGACCAAGTGTTCCTCAAATATCTAGGTCATTGTAGTCCTAAAATTAAGGCATTCCTTCCCCCTATCAATATACAACTTACCCTTTGGTGTAGAAGAGTCTTCTTGCTAGTTAAGGATGATTATTTATAGAGGACCACAAAAGTATAAGGCATTTAGCAGACAAATACAAATCGGCTGCTGCCCTGAGGAGCTTGCAATCTTTACCATTTATTTTCAATGTAACTACTTGACATGCTTCGGAAGCAACATTACATGAGTCTTCCTATGTATTAGCTCACCCCACTGCCAAAAAATATATATATATTTTTTTATAACATAAATTATGCATTTGAAACCAGACAATCTTGATCATAGCCTGCCTGAAACTAAAACAAAAAGAAACAATAATATGCTTTACAAAAGGCTAATGAAAAAACAGCCAGGATCTCTAAATTTCATTTAGGAATAAAAAAAGACAGTGTAATTCTAATGTTGGGATCTGTCTGTAAAATGTCTGCGCTTCACTCGCACAGGTATTCAGTCTCAGGTTTTTTTAAGAGATCCTGAGCAAACAAAGTTGCTACACACTGGTGTAAACTGGAGTAACCAAACAGAGTCAATGAAGTATTTCCAGAATGATACCAATATGACTGGGATCAGAATCTGACAAAGGGACTCTTACCCTTGGATTATTTTCTCCCATAAATGCATAACTACAGTGCAGTAAGATGACAACATGCCCTACCTGGGCATCCATTGTCAAAATAAGGCTTAACGAGTTCTCCAAGTTTCGTCTTGTCTGCAACAGCTTCCTTTAGCAGTTGCCCGCAGCAAACTAAGAGGAAGGAGGAACAAAAAGACACAAGGTTAAATTTTAAAAAGGAAGCAAGAAAGAAAAGAAACCCCCCCAAGAAGCTGCATATTGGAAAAAGGTCACTGAATAAAATAAAAGTTGTGGGGGCTTTGGGTTTGGGGGTTTTCTTGTTGTTATTTTTTTGTTTTGTTTTGGCCAAGCAAAGCAAAAAGCAGAGACTGAGCAGGGGAGAATACTGAATAAAAAAGAATACATTTGGCAAGGAACATATTAAAAACGGAGGCAGACAGAAAGATACTAATCAAATATGTTACTGAAATAATAACTCAAGGGATAGCTGGTAGTCTTCACTTTTTATAAACTTATAATTACTGAATAAAGTTACACCTGCTGAACAGCATCTGAACTGCTCTGCTGGAGGTGCAAGATGATATGCAGTTTGGAAAAGTGGCCCCCTGGATCATTTAATGATCATGCAAGAATTACACTGAAAAAGCTGTACTAATGCAGTATTATGGCTGAGAGTTCAAACACACAGAACACCAGGAAATTCAGAATTAAGGTACCAGTCAGGACAATTGCACATTAAATAATACTTTGTACTTGTATAGCACCTTTCTTCTAAGCAAATTAATTAAGCCTCACTACTTTCGTGTATGAGAGGTATATGTTAGTCTTGGTATACAGATGAGGGAAGTAAGGCATGGAAAGGTTGGGACTGGCATAAAGCCAGAGCATATCCTAACCATCAGATCTTTATGCTAAAAATGAGACAGCAGTGCCTTTTTATGCATTACAGCATGATCTTTCAATATATAATCCAGAACCAGTTCTATTCCTACTAAAATCAATTACTTAAATCCCACTGATGTTAATGGCAGTGTAACTAAGCCTAAAATCATCTTAATTACTATTAACAAACCCATTCACCAAATTCACCAAATAATCCACTCTATAGAGAATATATGTTGGACAATGCTGAGGAAGTTTAGTATTTAAGGAACAATGAAAGTTTGTAAATATTAACAGTCGTTAGTTGGTCTTGTAAAAACAAATGCATTCCTAATTGGCAATTGTGTACCATTATTATTCAAATTAAATGTATACACCCCTATTGAGGAAAGCACTGTAAGCCAGTGCTTACATCCATCCTTATTCTAGGCGCATGCTTTATATATGTGTTTTAAGACTGAAAATAAAGTTTGGTGCTTATACATGGATTTAAATATAAGCATGTGCTCAGAGTACTATCTTGAAATCAGAGGTGAATCACAGCTATAATGAGTTATTTTTTTCTAAGTATCAGTATTAGCTGTAACATGTTGTAGACAAAGTCACGTAGCTGTTTTAAGGTACAAAAATGTGCAACACTGTGATTAAGATGAACTATTAATCAGTACATATTGGTTAATTACTGATGATGTTATTAATAAAACATTGTTTAAAATACATGCAAGATAATATGGAACATACTGGAATTAAAGTATTTCATGACATATAAGTATTACTGGATCTTTTGCAGATTTCATCTTTTGCAGAATTTAAAAACTATAAAGCTTCTTAACCCTCTTATTAGATACCATATATGGTAGATATAGTATATATTTTCTGACATAGCTAAGTAATAACAATTAGTTAAAACAATAACTAAAAGGGCCAGAGTTCTAATTGGTACATACTTAGATCTAAAGTCTACTCACTTTATGTGGAATTATATCAATTTTGGACTCATTCCTGCAAATCTTTTCTTTTAGTTGAAAGGATGTCACAGAATGTATGGGTCCAGGTTTCAATGCAAACCACGCATGGAATTCCCATAGAAGTCATGCCAAGATTTAATCACACAGAAGTGCCCAGATTGGTCCCATTATTAGGATTAGCATAAATAGCAGGGCTATTAAAAACTGATTTTTGGCAGAAAATTGGATTTTTCCACTAAATCTGCAGTTTTTTTGGAGACCTTTTTTGTTTTTGTCTAGTGATGGTTAGGGTTTCTTCTACTCTCCCACAGAACATTTTGAGAAAAAAAAAAATTTTTCTAACCCCAACTCCTGTTTTTTAGCCCAGATCTACTAAACAGTTTGGATATGGGGCAGGTAACAGAAAAGGTATCCTGTAGTTCCTATTCACATAAATAATGTCTTGGGACTACCTGCTCTATCTAAACCCACTGAAGGCTTTCCATGAACTCAGTGAGAGTTTGTTTTAGCCTATAAAGATGTGTTACATCAATATAGATGATAGGATCAGGACAGTTTGCTTTGCTTTCCCCCTTCCCTACAATCTTGTACTTTCAATTATTATGATGTTATTTTTACATGTGTTCAAAGGACACTAATTACACCTGCTTACTTTAAGGAGAGGTTGCAACTGAGATCCATTCAGTTTTGGAGTGGAATGTATTTGTTTAAAATAATCTGAGATTCTTCAGTACTCCAAAATATTATAGTGTGACAGCAAATTGCATGATTGATTCTATCACCCAGTTATGTGCTAATTCAGCCTACTTTAAGCATTTGAGACGATTAACATGCACCAAAACAAACCCCATCTGGCATCTTCTGCGGTCCCCTCATGAATGGGAGAGAAACATCATTTTCATATGTTTCTTTTTTAAGGTACTATTTTAAAATGCTTACAGTCTTCCTCCTAGTTGAGAACCTTTTTTCTTTTAAAAGCATCCCAATCCAAGGTAGGCATGTGAAATTGCAAAGACATTATGCAAGACCCACAGATGCAATGAGGAATTCAGAGCACTACAGACTGTTCACAGGAGTATAACACATGAAAAACTACTGATCTAAAGGGTGTAAAAAATGATGACTAAAAAATGTTAGAGCTGGTTTGGCACAGGATATATGTTTTTATTGGTTAATATTTTTTATTGCAAGACTTTTCAGCCCCCCCAAAAATTTGACATCCACAGTGATGGACTAACAGGGAAATTTTATGAGCAAGGAAGAAAAGAAGACAGCAAAAGATAAATGATCAAAAAGAGAGAAAGAGGGAATGGAGCAAAGTGCATATTTACTGAGAACTTACTGTTGACAATGCCGTATTTCTGAGCTATTAGTGCTGCCTGCAGGCTCTTCCCACTGCCTGGGGGTCCACAAAAGAGAATCCGTGGTGTAAAGGGGGCAGCTGATCGATGCCGGGTTTGGACATAGGTAAGAACTAGAATGTAACAGAAGGACAAAAATACAGTTAAAATCCATTAACTGGGTTTTTTTTTTTTCCAAAAAGCAACACTAATTGATCAATTTCTTTTTTTTTTTTTGTCAAATGATGTAATTATTGTCATCATTTATTTGCATCTCAGGTGTACACAGAGGCACTATTTGAGGCCTGGACTCCAAGGTAACCAACATACTCTATCTACAACTTACTTACCACACTGTAAAGGCAAGCCCTAAAGAAATCCTAGTGCAGTTAAATTATACATAGCTTTCATGTAAATGTCTTTTATCAGTGAATCACAAAAAACTCTAACAAGTAGTTTCAATTAGTTTCAATTAGTAATTTGACTTTCAGTGTGTAGTTTTTAAGAGACATATACTTGATACCTGCACTTTTACCAAGCAAACACCAAAGAGAAAATAATTATATTTAGCACTTTCCACAATGTATAAACAAACATAGGTGATCATTTTGCAATGCTCACATCTCATGACATTCACTCATTCAATATGCGATTAATAATGCCTATTTAAAATATACTAAGTATCTGTGGCACTACCGTTTCATGGCACTGTGATATAGCACTGATGACACACAATTAAATGTGATCTTATTCTTGCGCACATCATTCTTGTATGAAAGGTAAGGGCCCCTTGCTGGTCTCACACTGGCTTCACTCTACTTTGGGACATCATTTTATTTTTTCTATTCATGTCTTGCATTGGGCAGGAGATGCCGATCACGTCTATATCTCAAACTTACTGTTTCAGGCAGTGGTATCCTGCCTCAAACATGCCACACTACTCCTTGCTGTCTACCTCCTGAACTAGAAGTGGGATAGCAATGTCCTAGCAGTCCTAGAGCTGGTCTAACTAGAGCTGTCATTCAGCAAGGCTAATTATCTCAAGTCAGTGCTACACAAACAAAGCTACACCATTTCTGACTGGGTAGATAGCCTACACAGAGCAGCATGGTGTATTTGGGGGTGTTGGCACCTGGCACAGTAAGACTGTGGTGCAGGCATGACCACTGTTCTCTTTATTTTAGTTTAGGACTATAAAATACAAATAGAATAAGCCAAACTGCTGCATTATAGTATCCCCAATCCTGTTGCAAGTTCTCAGAAGACAACTTGATGGGTCAGTGAGAAGGTACAGGCAGGTTTCGCTGGGTAGTGGGAATATATAGTGATCACAGTGTTCAGTATAAAGTCTGTCAAAGTGCTGATTATCCTCAGCTCCTAAACTCCTTTCGCAGCCACTAAAGCAGTGAAGGCAGACAGCACGGACTGCAGCATGGCGGTACCAACTCACTGGGGATCCTGGATACATGACCGAGTTGCTAACCTATGCTCAAACCCATACTATCTCATTGTCAGTGCTACTGTACTCACATTAGGTGGATTACAGCTAATGTGGGCATACCTACACAGGTTGCAATCTTACCTTCAAATGCCATGCATGGTGTTAACGTCAGTTCAGATAGCTTTAAATTCAAACAAGCAGTATACAAAGAGGTTGTGGAGTCTCTGTAACAATAATGCCTTTAGGTCTACTGAAACAGGTACAACAACTGTACCAACTGTATCAATTTTCTTATAAACAGGAATATTTTAGGCAAGTCTTTCACTCCACTTGGGCATTTTAGGGATCGGTGTTTTAACCAGAATTTTTACATAGTTTTAATGTGCTAACAAATCACTTGCTTAATTATTCCTCTTTATATTTCATTTCTGGATCCATACAAAACACCTCCTTTACTTGGAAGAAGTCTGAGCACTGATAGCAGGATACAGTACTGGCATTTCTAGCCTGTGAAGTGGAATAGTCCTTAAAACTCACTTACAGAATCATAGAAAATGAGGGCTGAAAGGGACCTCAGGAGATCATCTAGTCTAAACCCCTGCTCAAAGCAGGACCAGCCTCAATTAGATCATCTCAGCCAAGACTTTGTCTAGCCAGGTCTTAAAAACTTCCAAAGATGGAGATGCCACAACCTCTCTGGGTAACCCGTTCCAGTATTTTACTACCTTCCTAGTGAGAACGTTTTTCCCTAATATCTAACCTAAACTTTCCCTGCTGCAACTTGAAACTATTGCTCCTTGTTCTGTTACCTGCCACTACTGAGAACAGTCTAGCTTCATCCTCTTTGGAACCACGCTTCAGATAGTTGAAGGCTGTGAAGGCTGCTATTAAATCCCCTCTCTGTCTTCTCTTCTCTAGACTAAGTAATCATGAATCATGACTTGAATCATGCTGCAATCACATGGAAGCTCACACATCCCTTACTTCCAAACCATAAGCCATGGTGGGATATATTATAGTAGTGAAGATACTGGACACAGGTCTGATCATGCTTACACCAGAACAAATCAGGAGTACTTCTATTAAAGGCGATTAGAGTTATGCTGGTCTACAGATGGTGTAAAATCCGAATCAGGCCCACAGACTCTCAAAATGCTAATGCCACTGAAATTTCTCAACTCTTTTACTCACCCCTATAACTAGCATGACATACACATGACAAATAATAATGGAAAATCTTAGGAAGGAAATAGCCTGTTTACCACATAAATGTCCAAAACCAAATATCAGCAAACTAAAGAATGCTTCGGTTATTCCAAGCATTTTCCACAACCTAGCACATCCAAAAGCACAAACACTACAGGCAAACCACCCTGCTTACAAATGATGCTTAATTTGCAGTAAATAACCAAGTTAATTAGGAGTAATGATCCCCCAGACAGTCTCCACATCTAATTATTCTTTTAAAAAAAATATCTGGCTGCTTGATGCACTGCAGAAAAAAAGATCTAGAGAGGATTTTTTCATTCCAATTTTCAATTTATCTCACTACATTATTAATTAATAATAATTAATATTCAGGCACTCACATTTTTATTTTACAATTCAAGGCATGAATTCTTTATGAATGATGATATGAACTTTTAAATTTAATTAAGTAATTTAGAGGTAATTAATGTGTAAATTCAGAATATAAACTTCGTTGTTGTTTATCTTAAAAGTGCAGCACTTGTCATTAAAAAAAGACTTTTTTGAGATGCAAAATTACCAGGCTATAATAGACCAACAACAAACTGACAGCTACTATGCACATTATCAGTCGGTCTTATTGGCAGTTTCCTTATTTTGCTTGCAAGGAATCAATGTTAAATAGCAGACTGCATCAAAGTAAAGACAAACAAAAGCAAATGGGGGATTGTTGTATAGCAAACCTACTAGTGCAGGCAGCTGTTAATTAACAATATGCCACCTTCTTTGAACTACAACTACTACTACTACTGGTTAGTAGACTTGTGTAAGGAGACTAAGGAAATGGATGCAAACCTGAATACTTTAAAGTTATTTATATTTACCCTGGACCTTATTCCTTGGCAAGTTAGCACCATTATGAGGAGCTGAACACACAGCCAGCTCTCCTAAGGCAGTTGGTGACATTAAAAGCTTGGCTACCTACAGATGAACTTGGTTTTGGCAACAGATACGGAGAAAGCGCTACTATATTTTCTTCAAGTGGTACATTTACCATAGGTTCACAAACATCAGGGATTTGAGTCATCTCTTTCCTTCAAGTTAACTATGCAGGAAAATCAGTTTACCATGTAGTAATTGTGCTGTTTGTCTGTCCTCTAGCAGTGGTTTCAGTATGTGTACAAGTACTGATATGGCAAGTTTTTAGGCCTGGAATTTTAGGCTTCCCGATTAGATTATTTGTATGAGTGCTACCCAGTGGGTGTGAGCACCGAGGAACTGAGACTCGCAGTGAACCCTGGATGCTTTGACTGTACAAAAGAACAGGCTGAAACAGGAAACATGACTGATTTGGAGGCGGTCAGCACTGACAGACCTGGGAACCGGCACAATTCTCGCCAAAGGCTGAGAATCACTTTCAGATCCAAGTTTGTCAGCTGCTGAATTTCCCTGAAATGCACTGAGTTGATACTTACTTTGTGAGAAGACATCTGCACAAGGCTGGTCTGCATTGATCGATTTTAATATTTTATGGAAGGTTTGGAAAATCCCAGGGAAATTTCTGTGATAATCCAGCAGTTTCTTTGAGGTCTCCTGTTCAGATACACCTTCTGGCTCCACCAACCGCTGCTGCACCAGAGGGTCGCTTGGCCAGTCAAAGGTGGTATGGTACACCTCTAGAAGTTAGACAGCAGTTAGGCTCCATTGGAAAAAAGGATGTGGTACGATTTGTTCAGCTAGCAAAAACGCGTGCAACTATTATCAGGATTTAGAATCTTCTTAGCACTTACCTGGGACGGGACATGGGAGAGGAGCATAGCAACAGCTTCCTAATCAGCACTCCAAGGTTGTGCAGTGCCACAAAGCAGATAGTGATAATGACCCAGCCCTGTGGCAGTGAGGGTATTAGTGGGGGTCTTCTGCATCCCTTAATAGGGTGCAGCAATGAGTCTGCTTGCTTAATACACTGAGCACTCCCATTGCACAGCTGTGCCTGTATGGCACAATCAAGGAGTGGAAGAAGCAGGAATGAATATCGCATGGGTGTCCCTCACTCCTACCCAAGGATCTCAAAACATTTTTCCAGTACTAAAGTATTTTTATTCTGCTTTCCAAGCAACTACCCTGAGGTGCAGGCTGATGAAGTGAATTTCCCCCAAGTAATGTGGGAAATCTATAGCAGAGCTGGGAACCAGTCTTAGATTTCCTGACTCAGCCTTGAACCTTCACCAGGTCAGGGAACCCTTCCCTAATGCAAAAAAAAAAAAATCATTCCTATTTCTCTGGTTCAGCATGACCTACTCAATGCTCCTCTTGAACCATCTGACATGGAGTCCTGTGGAGTAACGTGAGGCTCAGCCACAGCATGCCATTCCAATTTCCTGCAGGCTTAGTGGGAGTAACACTGAACACAGGCTCTGAGGCTGGGTTCCCCACTCAACGTCCCCATACTGGAGGTTACCCAAATGAGGCCCTGCATCTCATGAGAACTGGCTTTTACAGTGAGGCAGACATTCAAGGTCTGTCAAAAATGCCATGGCAAACTGTTAAAAATGGCTATCAAGTGATCTCACCTTAGAATGACCTGGGCTGTTACAGAATGCTGCTGTTTACCGCAATATGAGTCTTTCACATGTTTTCCTTTATTGTATTGACTTAGGGACTGATATATATTGAATGATTTTTTAAAACCTGATTTAAAAAAAAAAATCACACTATCTGTTCATATGTTAAACGGACAATATTTAAAGGTGTTAAGAATATCAACATTTCAATTTCTTTTGGGTTGAGAGAAACATTTTCCCCAGAGGCAAGGAGGAACAAAAACATACCACACCTTCTGTGAAGGGATCAACCCTTTTCCCAAGGTTCCTCTCAATCAGCACCACGTCTGGAGCATACAGCACAACTAAGCACCAAGGAGATAGAATGAAAATACACCTTTGGTTAGTCATGGACTGCATTTCCTGAAGCTGCTTTCCAAGTATGCTGTGTCATTAAGAATAGCTTGATGGAACTTATGCACATTTAACTGTCTTCCCCATTTGCTGCATTATTTTCACTTCCCTGTACTATCCCATGTGTGTTTGATTTTAAGGGATATCTCAGACAAAACTATCCATGAGATAGTATTTTTAAAGGAAACTATACTTAAAAAAAAAATGCACAGCCCATAGTGTATTGTGTGTGACACATTCATCTCCCCTTTTTTAAAATCATCATTCACTTAAGTTCACCAAACCCAAATGCTTTTGTCATTTGCATGAGGTCCCGCAGTTGTTAACAGTAATTCACAAGGTTCTTCCTCACTCATACTAATTCATCAACTTTAAAGTTACAAGGTTCTAGCAGATCATCTAGTCTGACCTCCTGAGTTCACCAACCATTACGTTTCATCCAGTTACTTTTGTATTGAGCTCAACATGTTTTTGGCTCTCACATACTTTTTTTTTACAAGACATTTGCTCTTGAGTTAGAAACAAAGATACAGAGAATCTATCACTTCCCTTCCATTGTTTCAGTGGGCAATCACCTTGACTGTGCCTAATTTCTAATTTGAACGTGTTTAGCCTCAATTTCCAGCAACTGCATATTGCTATGTCTTTCTCCACTATACTAAATAGACATTTAATCTCCTTTGCTCCCTGCTAAGGTATTTATACACCTTAGATAAGAGACGTTTTAATCTTTTTTTGTTTTATTAAAAAAATTTAGCTAAGGGATTGATTTGGTTGTATATATTTTCCCCAAATATTATCAAAGTGTTTCTGGCCCTTTGGTACATGCGGAGTTGTATACAATCAAATCCAAAGTGGCAAAATCATCAAATCCCTGTTGACTATAATTTGGGCAAGTTGGTTTGGCCAAAACTGAGCTGTGAACCTTATTATTTTCATCTGGTCCCTGGCAATTTTGCTTTTCCTCTTGCATTTCAGATGGGTCCCTAGGCTTTAAGACTAAATGAATTACTAATTACTTCTGCAAAGTAGGTGAGAGTGGATGCCAAGGTCTTGTTCTTCAAGGTTTTATCATCACAGAATAATCCTTCCCTTAACTTACACTAGATTTCATCTGTAGCATCAAACTCAAAGCTCTTTTCATGTTGTGTTTGGTGAATGAGCTGTATATAATCTTTTACTACACAAAGGAAAGGGTTTGGTATCTCTTCGGGATACTTTTCTTCCTAACCATTAATTAAGGTAGAATCCTTGAGATCTTGGTTCTGATGCCAGAGAAAGTTTGAATTCTCTGGTAATACAGACACAGGGCAGCACAGCTGTTTGCTTGCCACTCACTGGCGTCTTCTGGAAGCTACAAGACTCCAAAGTCTAAGATGACAAGAGCCAAACAAGGGAAAATGGAGTTAAAAGTCCCATAGGCTGCCCATATCTTTTGGTGGACCTGGATCCTGTTTACCTACAATCCTACTATTTGCTCTGGTCTCATGGGATTTCCTCCAGTTTCTCCAACACATTTTACCCATTTAGGAAATTCTTCTTTATTCTTTATTTATTGCTTTTTCTTCTTTCTTTTTTTTTTTTGGGGGGGGGGGGGGGGGGGGAAGGG